GTACGCGCTCCAGCTCCTCAACCCTTTCACACGCGTAGTCAACCTGCTTCTCAAACTCGTCGACAAAGTCCTCGACGTCCTCGACCTTGCCGCGCAACGCACTGATCTCGTACTCGAGCTTGTCGCTCACATTATCCAGCTCGCGCAGCGACGTGGTGAGCTGGGCACGGTGGTTGGCGACGGCAGCGTGTGTATTTTCTCGGAGTGCGTGGTACGTGTCGAGGCGCGGGTAGTAGATGGATTCCAGTGTCTCAATGTCAGCGTCTGCTGCGGCGTCGAGATCGGCGATTTCTTTCAGGCGCAGCTTGACCCAGGACGAGTCTGTAGCGGAGAGGACGGCGAGGCGATGGTGTAGGCGTTTTAGCTGTTCTGACTGCATAGCGTAGGCTGTCTGTCGTCTTCCCAGGGCTACAACAGATGTGTCCGACTCTTCAACGGCTTCTTCGTCTGGTTCGATAATGGCGATGCTGGGCCATCTTAGAACGCTCTCTTCGGCAACGCTGAAAGAGAGGTGGCGTGGCCACCAGTCATCGCTGTGGTTGGTGTCATAGAGCTGGAGCTGGTCGGCGGACTGCGTACGGCGCAAGAGGGCAGGAAATGAATGGACTTCGTCAAGAGGAAGCGCCTCGTTCAGGTCGACGCCGTGATAAATGGACCCTGCAATGGAGGGTTCGGCTGTCGGTGGCTGTGTAGAGGCTTCTGATTCGGCGATTGCCAATTTTGAGCCTGATGACTCGTGCCCGCCGTCAAGCGTAGATGTTGCCTTATTCAATACAAGATTACTGGCCGAGTCTCGCGGAGTCTCAATAAGGACCTTGGTAAAGGAGGGCTCGAGGTCTGTGGTGACACGTTGGGGCGACAACACGGAAGAGAGCTCGTTGCCATCCTCATAGACGCCATCCACGTCGGCTTGCTGCGATACGTTGAGCCCCGTCCGTGAACCGTGAAGTTGCAGTCGATTGTGCTCGTCCTTTGAAAGCTTGCTAGCGTGGCTGCGGAGACCAACGGCGTCTTTGATGCGGTGGAAGCCGCGCTCAGGGTCAAGCTTCGCTTTGATGGCGGCACGCTTCGAGAATGGATCTCGGTCTCTCGCTTCCGTACCATCAGGGCTGAACAGCTCTTTTTTGTGGTCTTCTTGCGTGGTCTCCCGTCTCGGCATTTTAGGTTCGTCGAGCGTCGTCTGACGCTTTAAAGGGTTCCGGCTACGATCTTGTGTTGGTGAAGTCGAGTTGGCCTCATCTGGCAGGCGGTCGAACATGTCTCCGGAGGCTGTCTTTCGAGGCCTGCCATGCCATAGCCACTTTGCATGGTCGCCGCGCACAAGCTCGACGAACCGATCAATGTCCACCGTCTCTACTTCAGCTATGCCATCCTTCTCACCCGCGCCAACAATACCCATCATCATTTCACCCCCCTTGCCGCCAAGCTCAGCAACGGTCGACTTGAAGGCTCTTGGTACGCCCCAGCTGTCCTTGCTCGCAGCCTTTGCAGTCGCTCTGCGCAACTTGTCGAGTGTCGGTCTGTCCAAACGCCGAGATCGCTGTATGTGGTGAGTCTTCTGGAAATGCCCGATGCCCTTTTTGGTGCTCTCAATGTCGAACACGTCCTTAGCGACTGGCGCATTGAGTGCGCTCAATCGATTGCGCGCGCCTATGAGCATGCCCAGCAACGCCGCGACCGTAGTCGGGCCAAGTATGCCATCGTGTGGCTCAACTGTGTAGTACTCGGCACCAAACTCAACCCACCAATCGTTGATAGCCTTCTCGGTGACGTCGCAGAGTAGACCGTCTGCATACTCGGGCTCAAGCTTGCCAAACAAAACCAAAGCGACCTGACAAAGCTTCACAAGTTCGATAACAGCGCCGTTTAGAGGTATCTTTTCGCTGGTGCGATATAGTTGGTGGAACTTGGCCTGTGTTGCACTGCTAGGGGGCGCGAGCTTGATACCCAATCGACCTGAACAGCCCAGTCTCTTCAGATTCTCGCTGACGATGAAAATTTCCCTATACTTTCGTGGATCGCCCCCAGGGATTGGAATAACGGTCAAAGACGAAGGAAAGCCATTCAGATTGGTGATCATCAGGGTGCCGTATGGTGTCTCGCGTCTTCGTGCGTGATACTCGTTGAGTGACTTGAAGTACAGCTGCATCTGCGGTGACCACTGGGCCTCGTCCGCAGGTACGCTGATTATGGTAGCCAGCACGGTATCTTCAGGATTGCCGGTGTAGGTGGTGATGAGAAAGGTGGGATGTGCTCGTGAGCAGGCCCATTGCTCGACTAGATATACCTCGTAGCCTTCAATCTTCTGTCGACGCGCAAGGACCGTGGTGTGAGGATCGTCTTCCAAGTAACGGGATGCGACCATGTCAGTCAAGACGAAGCGCTGGTGTCGAGTGGGTGAGACTGGCGATGTGAGGCTGCCGTCGTTCGACATGACGTCGACGGTCGACGTTCTCGTCCCGGTCTGAGGGCGTGATTGTGTCGTGGGGTTGCGCTCTAGAGAGGTTGACGTTGTTTGCAGTGGTGGCATTCGTCTGCGCAGCTCCTTCTCTGCGGTATTTGTCCGCGACAGAGTCACATGTCCGTTCAGCGACATGACTGCGACTGCGACTGCAGTTCCTGGCCAAGGATATGCGATGCTCGGTGCGTATGCTGCACAATGCTACGTGGACACGCCGTTCATGGCGCCTGCGCAGGCCGCAAGAGTGTCCGGCGCCCACCCGCTGGTCTGCGAGAAGAGGGCGGTGAAGGTGGAATGCGCGGAGGTGTACACAGTCTATGCATGTTGCTAGCAAGCAAACACGATGCGCGGCATCAGGGGTGTAGTGTTCGTGGCGGGACGGTACGGAATGGTCGAGAGTAAGATGTGAGATGTGAGGTCTGGAGCTCGGCCGCGGCATGACGTGGGGAACTAGGAGCCGCGACCAGCCATGCCAGCTATCGAAGCTCGACACGACCGGCGAGCTTTGCCAACTCCACCACGCCAGCAGGACAGCCATGGACAAGTGGCATGTGATCTGCTGGCCAGACACACTCGACACACGCGACACACAACCGACTGCCTGCTTCCCCTTGCCCTCAATCACCAAAACTTACACTTCGGCATAGCGGTCAACGGCGGCAACTGGACCGCACCTCCGCCATGGACGACCTCCGCGAGCAGATAGAGCTCCTCGAGAGCAGCGCGAACCTCTCCACCAGCATCGACGATGTGCAAAAAGCCATCGATATGCTCACTGCGGCTCGCGAGAAGATTGTAGCGGGTAGGTTTGCCCATCGCGTGATATGAAAGCGTAGCTAACCAGCACCGCCATAGACCCCGCAAAGGCCCCCCTGACGCTCGCAAAGCTGCAGGACCCCTTCAAGAAGACGATGGAATCGGCGCAGAAAGACTTGAAGCCCATTTACTCTGGCCTGAACAAGTATGGTAAAGCGCTGGACAAGGTATGCGACACGACCATGCCTCCTGGAACAGTTTCACTGCTGACAGTCTCCGCAGAAATTCAAAGACAAGCCTCTACCTAGCGCCGACAACGATGCTCTGTCTTCACATCCTTCTTTGATCAACCGAGCCATAGCCATGCATCTCCTCCGCGAAGGCCAGTTCGACGTAGCCTCCACCTTCGTCGAGGAGGCCCACCGACACCCACCACATCCTGAGCCTACACTGAACACACCGAATCCGCAGAACACTGATTCATGGGAGCAGGACTTGGCAGAGGGGACGTTCAACTCGGAAAACCTCCAGCGGCAGTTCGCCGATATGTACCACATCTTGCATGAGCTGCGCAATGAGAGGAATCTTGAGCCGGCGATCCAGTGGGCGCGAGAACGCAGCGATGTCCTCGAAGTGCGAGGCAGCAATCTCGAGTTTGAACTCTGCCGCCTCCAATTTGTATGCCTCTTCGTCCAGAACCAAGACGATTCGATGGAGGACACACCTGCCGGCCCTCTTCGCGCCTGGTCCTATGCTCGACAAGCCTTTGGCATGTTCTCTCAACGCTACGCGCGCGAAATCCAGCACCTCATGGGCGCCATGGCCTACTACGAGAATGTTGAAGACTCACCGTACCAACGCTACTTCTACAACGACTCCGCTTGGGAAGAGGTGGCGCACTCCTTTAACCGCGAATTCTGCTCTCTCCTCGGTCTCAGCGCAGATTCACCCTTATTCATCGCTGCGACAGCCGGTGCGATTGCTTTGCCGTATCTACTGAAAATGCAGAGTATTATGAAAGAGAGGAGGGCAGAATGGACGACGCAGAACGAACTGCCCGTAGAGATTCCGCTACCGAGCACATACCACTTCCACTCCATCTTCGTTTGTCCGGTCAGCAAAGAGCAGACCACAGACGCAAACCCACCCATGATGATGCCGTGCGGCCACGTCATTGCCAGCGAGTCGCTGGACAAAATCTCCAAGGGTGCACGCTTCAAATGTCCTTACTGTCCAAATGAGAGCCATCCACGAGATGCCAAGAAAGTTGTGCTGTAGAACAGACATTACAAGCAGAGTCCCGGGCCGATTGGGTACGTGGACAATTATGACGAGTTTGATAACCCGCGAAAGTTCATGGAGACTTTACTGAAACGTTACCGCGAAAGATTTGACCCTTGATTGTGCATAGGATAAGTCCTGGCGTCACGGAATGAGCACGGTGTTCTGGGTTGGTTTTTCATTTGGGTGGAGTCTGTACATTCCCCCCAACACTCTCTGCTCACAGATACGAGCAAATCACATAAAGCTATGAATATGTCCTTACTTTCTGCCTCTTCTCCACGCATCACGTCGCACTGAACGCTATCCGATGCTACTTGACGCTACTCGTCCATCTCCAGAACGCAAAGAATTTTTCGCCGATTTCTCACCCGACCGAACCCCTTGACTCGCGACCCATCCGATCAACCCACTGTACCAATTCCTGAAGGCAACCCGCCCAAAATTCATTCAAAACCTCTAGTTATATTTAATTTATTTCAGAGTTCTTCTATCAATCCAATCCGTTATGGTCTAGGTAAGCATCTCTCGCCCTTCATCCCAACCCAACAAATAACTAACAAATACACAGTGGCTAGGATACATCGCTCTCACAGCAAGTGCCGATGTGGCCGGGGTTCGATTCCCCGTGACGGAAGCAATTCTTTTTTGCTGCTGGGGAGAACATTGAAGTGTGGTGGTGGTGGATGGGGGTGTGAAGCAGTTTTTTTGGAGGGGCGGAATGGCGCGGTGCAACTCCACATTGGATCATATCTTGTTCCTGGCGGTGTCGCAGTAGCGTTATCTTTTCCTGCGATGGCACCAATCGTGGATTCCCCTTGGTGCATTGGGGAGGATTTGGTCGATGGTGTTGCATTGTTCGATCATGATGAATGCGGTGTTTTCCACCCCTCTTTACACACACCTTGCTACACTTCATCGCTGCCCTTCACGTCGTCTTTCGCTATTGTCCACACCTCTTTCTATCTCTACGCACTGTTCTTTTTTTGCCACACAGCCCAAAGCGAAATTGCCAGGCTACGCCGATACCACGTCCCGAGTATTGGAGACCCTCTCAGCGGCTGAGGGGCTCAGAGTAACAGGGTCAGCTGTCTCTGCGGTAGCTGTTGGACTGTTGGGCGGCGCGAGATCATCTTTCTCAGGTGCACGTGCAGGGAATGGTCTGAGTTTAGGCTAGAAGCATTGCGCGTGGATGGTATGGTGTACGGTAACATAACGCGAATAGGTTGTTACAGACGAGTACTTTCAAGGGCACAGGGGCTGTGCAACAAGCTTTCACAGTTATGCGCGTTCCCAACACCATTTAGAAGTCACTCAACCCTCATAGCCGTGTATGACAAGGACGTGTCAATTTCTTGGTATATATCTATCCCCTCCCTACTCAGAAAGCTTCACACTGCCCATGCTTCCTCTCCAAAGTCCTAGATCGACCTAAGCACTCACAAGCCCCGGGCGCAATTTGGCGGGCATCGATATCTAATCCGTCGAGGAAACTGCAAAACGAAGAACACTACTTAGTGCGGAACCGGCCCTCCAAACGCCTCGCATTGCATGTGGTATGCCAAAGTAAGCACAAGGCCCCAAATTATGTGTCGTAAGGGGTAAGCAAGAAAACAGCCCAAAACTCCCGGCAAATGATGTAGTATGGATGCAGATATTGCAGCTGAAGCAAAGACGTTTTTGGGTGCTGTGCATCGACAGCTTGTGTTGTACAATTTCTTTGTGTGAGGAAAGGAGCGCAAGACATGAACGACGAAAGTGGCGTTGGTATCGTGGAACAGCACTGATGGAGTCGGCGTGGGCCTAGCGAAAGGAACGCCGTACGCATCGGAGCTGGTATACGAGACTGGCCGTACGTGGACGACGCAAACTTTTAGTGAGGCAGTCTGGTGGGCTGCTGGATCACCAAAAGTCAGCCATCCGCGAATGCGAATACAACTTTTATACAAAGCAAGGCAGGAACCTTTGCTTACATGAACACGATCACTCTCAGAACTGAGGCAAGTGATAGTCCTTTACTGCTTTGGAGATCTGCTTCGAGTTAGCAGCTGCATGCCAATAGAGATGTCTACAACTATAACCAGTGGAACTTACGAGGGCGAGTACGACGGGCTGGTAGGCGACCACTTGGGCGAGGACGCCGAGTATGGTGCCGCACCCGGTGACGTAGGAGAAAACTTAGGCGAAGTGGGCGAGTATGCTGCGTTGCCAGTTGGGCTTGTCGGAGAGTACTGCGGACTAGCTGGGCTATAGGCTGGCGAAGTTGGTGAAGCGGGCGAACGCCTGTCGTTGCCCGCACCAAACTGCGGGCTTGTCGGGCTGTAGGCAGGCGACGTCGGACTATACGCAGGCGACGTCGGGCTATAGTGGGGCGAAGTCGCACCACGGTGCGCTGGCGAAGTAGGGCTGTAGCTTGGCGAAGTAGGCGAGTACGATGGAGAGGTTGGTGAGTAGCTCGGTGAAGTTGGAGAATACGATGGGGAAGTAGGCGAACCATAAGCAGGCGATGTTGGAGAGTAGCTTGGCGATGTTGGCGAGTACTGGGGGCTAGTAGCGGCATAGCCAGGGGAGGTAGCGCCAAAGTGCGGGCTGCTGATGCCTGGCGAAGTCGGCGAGTACCCAGGTGATGTTGGCGAGTAGCCTGGAGACGTTGGGCTGGCGCCCGGGTAGCCTGGAGACATCGGAACGTAACCTGGGCTTCTGCCTGACGGATTGAACGGGCTGAAGCCACCGTTTTCGAAGTTCGGCTGGTACTCGGTAAGACCACCAACATCACCACCCGCAGCAGCAAGCGGAGAGAATGAAGCGTCGTAGCCGCCCATGCCCATACCACCTTCGTACGTTGGGGAACCGAGATCGTACGGTGTAGCTGCACCACTGTCGAGGTAGTTACCAGCAGCTGCTGCACCACCCATCACCTTCGAATTGTCTTCCACCATGGTCAGAAGCATAGCGTTGTCCATGACGACGTCGAACTCTCCAGTACCCATGGGCGCCAGCTGACCAAGCATAATGTTCTCGGACACACCGCGGCAGTCATCGAGCTCACCAAAGCCGGCAGCCTCGAGCAAGATTTCGACTGTCTCTTCGAAAGAACAACGCATCAGAGCTCCAGTGTCGTTGCGGTTGATGCCATGACGAGTGATGGCCATGAGCAGACCACGCTGCGTCATGATGTCGACAAGAAGAGCCATGTGTCGATGGTTGACGTAAGAACCGTCGAAGGACAAGACCATACCAAGTTCCTTGAGAAGACCCGCACGAGCTGCTTCGATACCAAGCACACCGAGGATCTCGATGAAAGAGTTACAGTACGTCTTGGTAGGGTCGACACCGTCAATGGCGAGAACGTCTGCCAGAGCTGTACCGGTGGTATCGAGGACCCATTCGTTGCAACGAGGGTCGCTCTTGGAAAGAGTCAACGAGCGATCATCGTTTTCGGCAACGACCTTGAGCTCTCGAATGAAAGCACGCTCAATACCACGGACTCCACGCAGTGTGACATCGTCCAAGAGATGCTTCTCAAGCTTTCGCATCCATCGCTCATCGCGTTCGTCTTCGTCCTCTTCGTCCTTTTGAAGGTTACCGTCCCATATGAATCGCACACGAATGATCTGCTCGTCCGCGTTCTCATCGCTGAAGATGACAGCCAGGTTGGGCTTGAACTCTTCCTTGATGGTGTTGGCGACTTCTTGAATAGTGATGTCCCTGTCCAGCAACTTCTTGCGGTCCAGAACGATACGAAGCAGCCACTTGGATTGTGCCGCAATATTGTCCTCATCTTCACCAAAGATGTAGTAGGACTCGACCATATCTTCATCTTGCCCGATCAGAGTCGACTTGATCTCAGGGTCATAGTACAATTCCACAGCGTGCGTAAGCGAGCGCAGAGTGGTGAGCTCGATACGAGAGCGGAGAAGTTTAGCAGCCTGCTGATCTCCGCGAGCGTCCTGTTGCCTGACTAACATAGATGGCGTCTTGATGTTCGCGGCGATGTTGAGAATTTCCTTGAGACGGGGCACACCAAGCGTGACGTTCTTGGAAGACACACCAGCGAAATGGAAAGTGTTGAGTGTCATCTGCGTGGCAGGTTCACCAATAGACTGCGCTGCGAGCACACCAACCATCTCACCGGGAGCGACAGCAGCCTTCAGGAAGCGCTCTTCGAGCTCACCAAGGATGTAGTCCAGCGCCTTCTTGTTCAGACGGTACTCAACGACGAGGCGTTTGAACGCAAGACGCGATCGTAGATGAGACTTGAACAGGTAAGTCGCGCTCTCCTGCGCTTCTCTCGAGATCTCATCATCGCCACGAATAACGACAAGGCGGTCCAGAAGCTCGCGAACTTTGGTGATGGTCTGAATAGGTTCAAGGTTGCTTCGGTCTTGTTGCGGCTTGATACCGAAGCGTGCTTGCGCAGACTCGATCATACGTTGAATGTTGAGAGGAAGCTGGAATTGCTGGCTGTCGTCGTCTTCGATGAAGTCACGAAGGTACTCGCGATCAATCTTGATCTGCTCGAACTCCTCATCAAGGTACTGCTGCACCTCGACGTCACCCTGGATTTCTGACGCAACTTCCAGTTGACTGGCCGGGACAGGAGGCTTCGCTGTGTTGACCACGTCAAGCTTGAAGGTCTTCTCGAACTTCGCCTCGGATGAAGTGATGATATCGAGCTTCTGCTTCTCAATGTGCGCACCATCAAGACCATCCTCTCCATACACGAACTCGACAATGTCGCCCATTGAGTTACGAACAGTACCATCGTACTTGACCATGACATCCTCAAGCGCCTTGACCAAACGACGTTGGATGTAACCGGTCTCAGCGGTCTTGACAGCGGTATCAATGAGACCTTCGCGACCAGCCATGGCGTGGAAGAAGAACTCGGAAGGAGTCAAGCCGCGTAGGTACGAGTTCTCGACGAATCCTCGAGACTCCGGCGAGTAGTCATCCTTGGTGAAATGCGGCAGAGTTCGGTACTTGAACCCGTAAGGAATACGCTGACCTTCGACAGCCTGTTGTCCGACAAGGGACACCATCTGCGAGATATTGACAGTGGAACCCTTGGAACCAGAAATGACTGTGTTGACGACGTTGTTGAAATGCTTCAAACTGCTCTGAGCGGCGGTACCACCACCCTCACGACCTTCGTTAAGGAACTTCTGGACCTTCGACTCGAAAGTACCGCGAATCGTCATACCTGGCAAAGGCTCAAGCCTATCCTCGGTAGCTGTGAGAATGATGTCCTCGACGTCCTTTTTAGCCTTCGCAACGTGCTCGGCAATTTTCTCAGAAGTAGCCGGGTCAGGAATGGCATCACCCACGCCCATACTGAAACCGTGATGCAACAGCCAGTAGCACACGATACGCTGACAAGCATTGAAGAAGCCCACAGCGTCGAGAGGACTGAGTTCGTTAAAGATGATGTGGATGACACCACCAGCTGTAGCACCAACAACTTTCTTCGTGATCTGTCCAAAGATGAGCTGGCCACCCATGATCATCAGACTCTTGTCGGCGATGTCGTTCCAAGGCCCGGGCTTGGAATCGTCGTCAAGCTTGACAATGTTGACCTCCTTGACCATAGACATGCTCATGATCTGCTTTCCGGTCCAGAGAGGGCGAGGCTTCAGG